CTCTGTAGCTCAGGGTTGAACTGTAAAGTCCTTGGTGCTCTCTGAGCTTGGTTATTTGCTTGCAGACGTTTCATTACCCGACTAGGTAACATCATCAGAGCGAGTGGGGGTGGGATTTCCGGCCTTTTTATATTCAGTAGCTTGCCCTGCCAGTTTTGGTGGAGGTTTGGTTTCCTCCTTGGTGGTCCCTTGATTAGAGTCTTGTTTTCTGTCTGATCGTTTGTCTTGTGTTAATCCTCGCCTATCTAAACGCTGACTACCTTAAAAAGACTGGAACACATCCTCTCCGGCAGCCAATACTCTAATCAAGGAATCACCAAGGAGGAAACCACCAAAGCTGGCCGGGGAAGTTACTGAATGTAAACAGGCAGCAAACTCCACCCTCCCTCGCACAGACGACGTTCCCTAGTTGGGTCATGAAACGTCTCCAATAGAAGGGAATCTCTGTAGCTCAGGGTTGAACTGTGGAGTCCTTGGTGCTCTCTGAACTTGGTGGCTTGCTTGAAGATGTTTCATTACCCGACTAGATAACATCATCTGTGTGATGGAGTGTGGGGTTTGCTCCCTGTGATTGTGTGCAGCGATTGCAGGTAGAAGCAGATCTGGTTTCTCTTCTCGTTGGGCTAATGCGGTGTATGCTTTCTTGCAGGCCTTTAGTCATTTCACTTTTGAGCGCTCAGGACACCAGCTGATCATTGTGGACATCCAGGGGGTAGGAGACCTTTACACGGATCCTCAGATCCATACCGAGAGCGGCACAGATTTTGGAGATGGGAATCTCGGTAAAAACCGGAGTGATTGTTTTTCATTGGAGTGGCTTAACTCCAGTGGTTGGGGATTCTGTTTGGTTTGAGAAGGGGCCAGCTTCAGTTCTGGACACTTCCACCTTTTGAAGGAACGATCTATCAACATGGGTCTGTTCGTTGTTGTTTTTCAATTATTGTCTAGATCAGTGTTTCTCAACCTTGGCAACTTTAAGACATGCGGACTTCAACTCTTGAAGTTGAAATTGAGTTGAAGTCCGCATGTCTTAAAGTTGCCAAGGTTGAGAAACACTGATGTAGGGCTTTGCATCTTGAAATGGTGTCTCATTGTGTTTCTGTGGATGGTTCTCCCCCTACCCCAGGTGTGCGAGGGATGGCGTTGTTCTTCCATTCTCACGCCTGCAACAGGATTTGTCAAAGTATGGGGCTGATGCCTTTCGATCTCTCCTCCAAAGAGAAGGACGCCTTGTTTCGGAGTAGCAAACTACTCGTAAGTGTTGTCGGCAAAGGAGCTTTGAATCTAAAGAATTGCTGGCGGTCGTTTTGCATGATATCTTGGAAAGAGGGGCCACAATTAATACTCAGCTGGCTTAATAAAATAGATTCCTCGGGCTTGAAGTCTGCTTACCACCAAAAATGTTTTGGTAGATACCTATAATGGATGTTGTCTTTTTTCTCCTAGA